AAATCTTTATTTATTTGTTTGTTTTTGTAGAGATGGGGTCTCACTGTATTGCCAGGTTGGTCTTGAACTCCTGTCCTCAAGCGATCCTCCCTCCTCAGCTTCCCAAAGTGCTGGGATTACAGGTATCTTAATTCATGGCTAGGGGTCCACCAGGATCCCTAGCATAGGAGCATACAGGGAGGGGTGTCATTCCAAGCAAACAGACAACCAGGTTGGATCCAAAGGCCTATAAAATACCTAAAGCCATCAACTTCCTTCTGTCAATGAAATCGAGATAAATTTATCACCTGAGTCCTATACAAGGCTATAGGTCCCTTCTGCCCCCCTTCTTAATTTATCACCTGAGTCCTACACAAAGATATAGGTCCCATCTGTTTCTCCTCTCCTCTCCTCTTCCCTCCTGTCCTCTTCCCTCCTCTCCTCTTCCCTCCCCTTCCCTCCCCTCCTCTTCCCTCCCCTTCCCTCCCCTCCCCTCCCTTCCCCTTCCCTCCCCTCCCTTCCCCTCCCCTCCCCTCCCAGCAACAGTATGTCTGGTGTCCAGGATACAGGGTACTGGGGACAGGGTATGGAGGTAGGGAGCAGAGAAAGCAAGTCTTCGGAGGCTGGTTACAGTAAACAAGCAAGTTGCTTGAGTCAGCAAATAAGCAAATACACCAAGGCTGGTGAGAGGCAGGTTGCTCACTGTCAGAGAATGGATTTACAAAGACGTTAGGGAGAAGACTGGAAAGAACCCAAAAGTGTTGAATTAGAACTATTATTAAATAATAATTTAAAAATATATATTTGAGTATTTTGTGTGTATATATAAAACAGACATACAGCATACATACACAGAGCAATGCCTATATCTGTATATATGTATATCTAACACACAGACATACAGATCTAGAAATTGTTATAGATGGGTACATGTATCTGTAAATGGACACTTACACGTTCACATATGTACTTGCTTTGTCCCTGAGACAGACTCCTCAGTAACAATGAACCAACTAAGCACTCAGATCTTGGTTTCTAAATACCCACACCAAAAGCAGAAAAAGCTCTATAGAGAATGAGTGATACAGGTCTCTTAGTCCATTTGCAAGCTATAAAGGAATACCTGGGGCTGGGTAATTTATAAAGAAAATAGCTCTATCTGGCTCAAGATTCTGCAGGCTGTACAAGAAGCATGGTGCCAGCATCTGTTTCCAGTGGGGACTTCAGGGAGCTTCTACTCAAGGTGGAAGGCAAAGGGAGCAGACATCACATGGTGAGAGAGGAAAGAGGAGGAGAGAGGAGGAGACACTAGGAGCTTTATAACAGTCAGATTAACAGCAACTAAGAGTGAGAACTCACTCTACCCCATGAGAGTCGCACCAAGCCATTCACCAGGGATATGCCCCCAGGACCCAAACACCTCCCACAGGGCCTCACCTCCAACACAGGGGATCAAAGTTCAGCATGAGACTTACCAGAGCCAAACAAACCATATTCAAACCATAGCAACAGGGTACAAATAAAATGAGCCTGGAACACACAATTGTGTCATGAAAAGTCATGAAAGGCTCAAAGAATGGTAGAGATACGCCCACAGGATGCAGAAGCCAGCTTGAACAGGCTCCCACTGGCCAGAGCCAGGATAACTTGGGAATCAAAATAAATAATCATAATATCGGGTTATAATATATTGAATAAGAGTCCAAGTGTCTGTACTGATATAAATGAATGAATAAATAAACGGGGAAGAAAGAAAACTATTTTTTTGCTAATAGTAGAATGCCTGTTAACAAATGTAAAAGGAACCACGCCCATCTAATTTTTTTTTTTAAGTACAGACAGGATTTTGACATGTTGGCCAGGTTGGTCTTATACTCCTGACCATAAGTGATCCTCCCAGCCTCCCAAAGTGCTGGGATCACAGGCATGAGCCATCGTGCCTGGCCCAATTTCTGTTGTTTTAAGTGACATAGTTTGTAGTCCTTTGTTACAGTTTCCCTAGGAAACGAATCCAACATTTTTCTAAAAACATGCAAATGGCCAGTAAGCGCATGGAGATGCCCAGCATCATCAGCCATCGGAGTGAATCAAATCAAAGCCACAGTCAGCAAGCACTCGCACCCCCGTGACTGCTAGAACCAAACAGGCAGGGAATCACTAGTGCCAGCGAGAATGTGGAGCAGTTGGAACCCTCATACATTGCTTGTGGGAAAGAAACAGTGCAGCTGCCTTGGGAAATAGTCTGACAGCTCCTCAGATGGCTAAACATAGAGTCACCATATGACCCAGCAATTCCACTCCTAGGTATATACCCAAGGGGAATGAACACATGTATGCACACAGCTTTCCCACGTAGGATGTCATCACTGATACAGCCTCATCCTCCACCCCACAGACCCCACTCAAATTTTGCCAAATATCCCCATAACGTCTCTCATTCCTCGCTGGTCCAGAATCCCATTCAGGGGCCTGTACTACGTGAAGTAGTACATATGTCATGGGAACATATGTATCCCATGAGAAAGCTGGGAGGCTTAAAACAACAAAAATTAGGCCAGGCACGATGTATCCACTTGTGCGTGAATGTTCATAGCAGCATTATTCATAGCCCAAAAGCCCCACCTCCTAATATCATCCCATTGGGCATGAGATTTCAACATATGGATTTTCAGGGTATACAAGCATTCAGTCTGTATCACTCCTCCCATTTTTAATAATAATATTGGATATATTGATTCACTGTCTCCTGACATCCGTTCCTGCAAATGTGACATCTGTTCTCCGTTTAAGTTTTATTTGTATTTGTCTTCTTTCTAAAATCTCATAAGATCGCTCTATCTTTGCATTTCATTACATTACGACCGAGTGAAGATTCGTTTGTCATGGTGCAGCATTGATTGTAAACATGGTAGCAGAGAACTTACATTAATTCTGTGTCTTTCTTTAATTCTAAAAGTTCTCACCTGAGTTTTCTATGTATCTCCATCTGAAACACTTACAAGAGGTGTATGTTGGAGCCTCTCAACCAGTTTTCTAAGTCGCTTAACTGCTCTTGCATAGTTTTTATTCTCTTTATCTCTCTGAGATGCATTCTGGGTGAATTCTCGAGCATTGTTAACTAATTCCCTTCTCAGTTGCATTGAGTATGGAGCTTGATTTTATGTCTTCAGTCTTGTATTTCAATAATCATTTTTTTTTTTTTTTTTTTTTTTTTTTTTGAGACGGAGTCTCGCTCTGTCGCCCAGGCTGGAGTGCGGTGGCCAGATCTCAGCTCACTGCAAGCTCCGCCTCCCGGGTTTACGCCATTCTCCTGCCTCAGCCTCCCGAGTAGCTGGGACTACAGGCGCCCGCCACCTCGCCCGGCTAGTTTTTTGTATTTTTTAGTAGAGACAGGGTTTCACTGTGTTAGCCAGGACGGTCTCGATCTCCTGACCTCGTGATCCTCCCGTCTCAGCCTCCCAAAGAGCTGGGATTACAGGCTTGAGCCACTGTGCCTGGCCAATAACCCTATTTTTCATTCCAAGAATTTTTTATTTTGTTCATGTTCACCTGTGCTTCTTCTATTTCTGCCACTGTTTGTTTCCTAATTTCTCATCCTTCATTTCTGGGAGAACCTAAACCACATTTATTAGAAAGTCATTTTTCTATTTTGCTGTTATTTTCATTTCTCTAGGAATTCATTCTCCAGGTTGTTGATTTTTTAAAACTTGTTGTTCTTTCTTAACATTTGCTTCCTTCATTCCTTTTGAAATCTTAGTTCGTAGAGTTATCTTAAAGGGGAATCTCCTTTCCTTGCTTTCTGTGAATACCCCCTGCTGCCATCACATACATCTCCTCATGTTCCCCAGACCAGAACCAGAGGTTACACGGCAGCTGGGGCTAGGGGGATGTGGAGGTTCCTGCTGGTAGCTTGGCCTAGGGCACTGTGAGGCCCCTCTGCCTCCTCCCACCTCCCCGGGTGTACAGTTACCTAGCGGCTATAGTCCCAGATTGGTAGCAATCTTCAGTCTCCAGCATTCTAAAGTCTCAGTCTTTAGTTTCAAGCCTGTCTCTGGTCACCTGCCACACCTGGGACACCTGTAGTCCTTCTTATACCACAGGAGTTGAGCTTGTAACTGCCTTTCCTGTATCCAGACCCGGAAGCCAGCAGACTTGTGGATTCAACCTCACCTCCATGTTAAGTTTCTCTTGTTTCTTGCCCAAGGACATGCTACTTACCCAATTTTGATTATCAACTATGCATTTTAAGTATCATTCCTTAAGTTTTTTTTTCCTGTCCTATCACTTCTATATATTGGAATGAAATGGAGTTGAAGGGCCTCAGTGCATGAAATTACAATGCTGTAATCCTGGGACTTGCCATTCACTTTCACCTTGAATTTCTTTACATCTAACTTCAATTGTCTTGTATTTGCTGTATTGTTTGGAACCATCTTAAATCCTTCCAATAACTAGGAATGGGATACATACCTTGTTAGTCCCCTGTGGCTGCAGTAATGAAGTACCAGAAACTCGGTGGCTTAAAACAACAGAAATCTTGTCCCACAGTTCTGGAGGCCAGAGTCTGAGATTGAGGTGTCAGCAGGGCCACACTTCCTCTGAAATTGGCACTGAAACGTCCTCTGAAACAAGCACCTGAATGCTTCCAAGTGGACTGGTTAATCATCTCTGCTTAAGGAAAAGAAGACAGAGGCCCCAGGGGTGTGGCAAAATGGAGACGGGGTAACATTAGGTGAAATGAGTAAAATTATCAGGTGAAAAAAGTCTATCAACTAGGCACTGTGGCTCACCCCTGTCATCCCAGCACTTTGGGAAGTCGAGGCAGGTGGCTCACTTGAGTCCAGGAGTTTGAGACCAGCCTGGACAACATGGCAAGACCCTGTCTCTACAAAAAATACAGAAATTCATCGGGCATGGTGATGTGCACCTGTAGCCCCAGCTACTCGGGAGACTGAGGTGGGAGGATCACTTGAGCCCAGGAGGTCAAGGCTGCAGTGAGCCAAGATTGTGCAACTGCACTCCAGCCTGGGTAGCAGAGTGAGACGCTGTCTCAAAGAAAAAAAAAGTCTATCACTTGTGCAAAGGGGGCACAGTTTGCTTAAACAATGGGGAGAAGTTAGCTTAATTTTATACAAATATGTTTAATTACTTAAGGCAACCCATCTATGTATCTGTATCTACAAATATATAGGTAGAAGTTTTATGCATATGATATAGTATGATATATGTCTATATCCAGCTACCTATCTGTGTATATATTTAGCTAGACAGTATGACAAATGTCAAACCTAAGATGAATCCAAAGCTATTCAAAATAGCAGCCTTATTTAAAATACGGGAGAAATAAAACCACCCACAAAGTTTAATTAGTGAATGTCCTTACCAGTCTGGCTTCTCTAGCAAGGAGTAAGTTCAAAATCCGTAACTGTTTCCCTGCGATCCTTCATTCCTCACCTGGTGGGGCAGAAGGCAGATCTTGTCAAAGACAGCCGTGAACATATTACGCGATTCACCGGGAGACTCCTCCAGCACCTTGACCTGCAAATTTCCAGAGGAGCTGCTCTGCTGTCAGCTCTCCCCTAGAGGATGCCCCAGGGGGCAGGGCACAGCACCACATCTTTGCTCTCTGGGGTTCACTTGTCCAGGGCTTGGAGCCTGCAGGAAAAAAGGCAGCGTATCCAGCAAACCCATCTCTGCCAAACTAGCATTTAAATCCCCCAGCCCTGCATGTCTGCCTCGTGACAAAGCTATTTCTGAGTTTATATCTCTCAGGGCACGATTTTGATTTTCAGTTTTAGAGCTCTGAGTGATGGGTTGTCTCAGCTGGTCCTCAAATCTCTTTCCTTTGTGTTTTTGTTGCTGTTGTTGTTGTTATTTGTTTTTTTGTTTGATTATTTTTGTTTTTGTAGCTCTAGACCTCTATGATTCTACTCTGTCAAAAAGAATCTACAAAGTCCCCTCCCTTCAGTTGGGTAAAATCCAGGGACCTGTTGGTACCTGATCCATTTTGAGAAACACAAGCCCCTGGGAGACATTTGCCCCACTGTGGGGAGCCACTCTCTGGAGCAGTTCACTATTTGTAGGATGGTGAGGACAGAGGAAGGGGACAGGGTGAAGTCTTAACTCATGCTCACATCCGAACAGACTTTTTTAATCGCAAGTAGCATCCATTCAGTTTCTCTACTCAGCTTCAAAGGCCTCGTAAGGCTCCCATTACCATTGTGTGGCTGGTAATTCTGTGTCACAACTAATTACCGCCTAATAGCTGTCACGGATGCAGAGTCTCCAGTTTAAAAGCGAAGTTGATTTCTTCCTGCATTCAGACCTCATCTGCCCCTGAGTGGTGCAGATTACATGAGGTAATACGGCTGTTATTTCTACCTGCTGCAGTTCATCAGCTCCATCTCCAGCTGAGGTAGTCGCCCCTCCCCCTTGGACAAAGATTATTTGTCATTAAAATGCTCAGGCTCACTCACACTCTCTTTTTTCAATCTGGATGTTGCCTACACTTTGAGAAAGGTTTTTGAAGAAAGATTAGCAGGATTAGGAAAGGTTCACATATGTTCAGCTTCACTCTTGGTATTCAAGACATCACAACCCTGCACCACCCAGGAAGCACAAGAAAATGGAGCTTAGGCAGAGGCTGGGAGGGGCTGGGAGGTGAGAGGGAAGCTGTGTGGCTCCCCCACCAATAATACAAAACTGAAGTCAAATGCAAATCTGGGGGTGTTTTATGCTGGGAAATTCCCAGGTGGTTTCCTAGAATTTTTTTTTTTTAATTTTTTTATTTCCATAGGCTATTGGGGAATGGTGTTTGGTTACATGAATAAGTTCGTTAGTGGTGATTTGTGAGCTTTTGGTGCACCCATCACCCGAGCAGTACACACTGGACCCAATTTGTGGTCTTTTATCCCTCACCCCCTTCCCACGCTTTCCCCCTGAGTCCCCAAAGTCCATTGTGTCATTCTTATGTCTTTGCATCCTCATAGCTTAGCTCCCACTTATGAGTGAGAACATACAATGCTTGGTTTTCCATTCCTGAGTTATTTTACTTAGAATAATAGTCTCCAGCCTCATCCAGGTTACTTTGAATGTCATTAATTCATTTATTTTTATGCCTGACTACTTTTCCATTATATATATGTATATCATATATATATATCATATGTATATCATATGTGTATCATATATATCATATGTATATCATATATGTATCACGGTTTCTTTATCCACTCGATTGGTGAGCATTTGGGTTGGTTCCATGATTTTGCAATTGTGAATTGTGTGGCTATAAACATGTATATGCAAGTATCTTTTTTGTACAATGACTTATTTTTCTCTGGGTAGATATCCAGTAGTGGGCTTACTGGATCAAATGGTAGATCTACTTTTAGTTCTTTAAGGAATCCCCACACTGTCTTCCATAGTGGTTGTACTAGTTTACATTCCCACCGGCAGTGTAGGAGTGTTCCCTTTTTACCACATCCATGCCAACATCATTATTTTTTGGTTTCTTGATTATGGCCATTCTTGCAGGAGTAAGGTGGAATTGCATTGTGGTTTTGATTTGCATTTCCCTGATCATTATTGATGTTGAGCCGTTTTTCATTTGTTTGTTGGCCATTTGTATATCTTCTTTTAAGAATTGTCTGTCCATGTCTTTAGCCCACTTTTTGAAGGGACGATTTGTTTGTTTATTTCTTGCTAATGTGTTTGAGTCGGTTGTAGATTCTGGATATTAGTCCTTTGTCAGAGGTATAGACTGTGAAGATTTTCTCCCACTTTGTGGGTTGTCTGTTTACTCTGCTGACTGTTCCTTTTGCTATGCAAAAGCTCTTTAGTTTAATTAAATCCCAGCTATTTATTTTTGTTTTTATTGCATTTTCTTTGGGGTTCTTGGTCATGAAATCCTTGCCTAAGCCAATGTCTAGAAGGGGTTTTCCAATATTATCTTCCAGAATTTTTACAGTTTCAGGTCTTAGATTTAAGTCCTTGATCCATCTTGAGTTTATTTTTGTATAAGGTGAGAGATAGAACTTTTGTTTTTAGCACTGTTTTCTTTTCTCTTCCTGTGTGATAATTTGTCTCCTTTTCAGAGCCTGGCCAGCAAAGAAGTGATGTGTCAGAGGCGGGACTCAACAACTTAGCCTTGAGGCAGGTTCTAAGAGCTATGCTCAACCCAACAGCTGACCCTTGGTATTCCTTCTGTCTACTTTTTCTTGTCTTAGTCACCTTCTCAAGGGCACCAAATGAAGGAAGGGTCATGGCTCCTGGAGCCTGTGAGAAAAGTTGGAATATTTCATCGAGTTAAACTTCTAATCAATCTGCACTGATCACTGGGTGTCTTAGTCCATTTAGGCTGCTCTAACAAAATATCTTAGACTAGGTAATTTATAAATAATAGAAATTTATTTCTCACAGTTCTGGAGGCTGGAAAGTTTAAGATCAAGGTGCCAGCCGATTTTGTGTCTGGTGAAACCTCCATCTCTGTTCCACAGAGGGCACCTGTTGCTGTGTCCTCAGATGGCAGAAGGGCAAAAAGGAACTAACAGACTCCCTCAAACCCTTTTATAAGAACACTAATCCCATCCATGAAAGTGGAGCCCGGCCGGGCACGGTGGCTCAAGCCTGTAATCCCAGCACTTTGGGAGGCCGAGACGGGCGGATCACGAGGTCAGGAGATCGAGACCATCCTGGCTAACACGGTGAAACCCCGTCTCTACTAAAAAATACAAAAAAACTAGCCGGGCGAGGTGGCGGGCGCCTGTAGTCCCAACTACTCGGGAGGCTGAGGCAGGAGAATGGTGTAAACCCAGGAGGCGGGCTTGCCGGTGAGCTGAGATCGGCCACTGCACTCAGCCTGGGCGACAGAGCAAGACTCCGTCTCAAAAAAAAAAAAAAAAAAAAAAAAAAAAGAAAGTGAGACCCTCATGACATAAACCACCTCTCAATGGCCCACATCTCTTAATACTATGGCAGTAAGGATTAAGTTTCACTTACATGAATTGAAGGACGGGCCCCATCTCTTAATACTATGGCAGTGGGGATTAAGTTTCAACATGAATTGAAGGACGGAGGCAAACACTCAAACTGTAGCACTGAGTACCAAGAAGAATTAAAAAGGGGAAAAGAAATGGCTAGGTAGTCTCAGAATCTTCCCAAATCTCCCCATAAAATAGAAACAGCAACTAGAATAGCAAAGCCCAAAGAGCCATGGACAGTATCCACAACAGAACTGGTAGAGAGGTAATCTTCCCAGACACCAAATACTAACAGGTCTGGGCAAAGCATTTACAGTTCAAGAACTGAATGGTAGCAGCATTAGTGCCAGAAGAAGACAAGTAATAAAAGCTGTGATTCTGAAGATACTGAGAGCTTGGGAATCACACAATCACCTGCAGATATTCACCAGCGGGCACAGCAAGACCATCTGAGTACAGCAACCAAAACCAGGAGAGTTATCTGAAAACCCAATACACGATTAAGCATAAGAGACTGTGATACAATAAGGTCTGATGGTGTTGGGGTGATTTCAGCTCCATATGCTCTCAAAGTGAACAGAGTCCCTGCCAATACAAAGCCTTGCGCTGATGAGTATCTAGGCAGATCACTAAAGGCAAGGAAAAAAGATCCAGATAAATGGGATGGGGGGTGGGCAAAGCAGAAGAGGCAGCTCTCAAAACCTTTGGAGATTTTTGTTTTATTTCCTTGTGAAAGGAACAGGAGAGGGAGCTCTAGAGCCTTTGGACTAGAAAGGTTGCCCCAGCATACCCTTCACTCCTAAAAGTATAGGAAAACTCATTTCATTTAGAAAATAAACAACAGAAAAGCATTGTGGTAAAAACGTATAAAAAGTTAGCAAGGAAAAAAGAAAAGAAAGAGCAGAATAAAATTCCTACAAACGATGAAAGCGTGTCCGAAAGGAATGCCCGCAAAACATTTCAAATGTTATGAAACAACTTAAAGAAAATTAAGAAAATGATAGAAGCTATGAAAGAACAACATACCACAGAATCAGAAAAAAGCTCAGAAGTAAGGTGACTGGAGAAAAAAAGTTTGAAAAGAGGGATGGCACAGTTTAGAAAATAACTAGAAATATAAAAAGAAAGGACTGGAGAAAGACACAGATGAAAGAAATTGTAGAAATACGAAGGACAGAGGAGCATGTTAAATGACACCGTGGGACGCGATGAAATCCAGACTGGAAAGTTCTAAGTCAAATGACTTGATTTTTCCAACAACAAAAATGGAGGGGTTAAAAAGAAAGAAAGAAGAGGAAGTGTATAAAGAAAAGAGATTTGTAAGTTATTTCAAGCAAATGCAAAGTAGGAATCTTATTTCAGTTCTGGTTCAAACAATCAATTTTTTAAAATATAAAGCAACCAGGAAAATATAAACATGACAATATTTAATATTAAGGGATTAATATTTTTAAGTATAATAAAAATATTGTGATTGCTTTTTAAAAATTATGATTATCTATTAGAGATGCATACAGTACTTAATGTCTAGGCTCACTACAAATTATCCAGGAACAGTGGGAATAGAAGCAGATATAGAAAAACAAGATTATCTTGTACTGATATATATCGAAGCTGATTGATGAGTACTTGATCGTTCTTTGTATTATACTCTCTACTTTTGACTGTCTGAAT